CTAATTTTCTTATTTGTGGTAGTATTTTCAAATTCTGATTAATAAATAGATTTTGAAGATCTTTGAGTCTAAAAAGAATTAAAACTATCTGGGTACAGATTCCTTCCCAAAACCATATAACCCTTTACAAAATTTTTATACACTTCCTTCATTTTAAGGAAGAGAAAATTATCTATTCCTTCAGTGTATATGGTGTTTTGTAGTTCACAGAAGTACTTTTATATTTATGATTTGATCCTATGCTAGCTCCTTGAAATAGGTAGTGTGAAGAGACAATCAGTAAGTATACAGAAGAGGCCTTAAGTTTAATTTTTTTACCCCTGATCTTTTCTAACCCATTTTTATACACCAAAGAATTTCCTAAAATAATGGCCTAGTTATAAGTTTGTATCCAAATAGTAAGTGTATGAAAACATTATATACATTCATGATGATTATAAGGTTATTATTATCCAGAGTTCTTAGTTTCTATTTTATTTATAACCCATCTTTTTCCAAATGTATTCACAGCATAATTATCCAGTACAAATACAGTAAAATTGTTGAAATAGAAATAATAAATCAAAAACCAAAAAATGAGAGTTAATTTAATGGAATTGAGATTTGAAGCATTTTGTAATGTATGAAGTAATTTATAAATCATCCTACTTCCTTTGTGTATTCAATTTTTACATTTTGGATGTTCTTGATTTTTTAAGATTTTTCTCACCTATATTCTTTTCTCACCTATATTCTCACCTATATTCATCTACCATACTGAGCCAGAACATGTTTGTATTCTTGCCCTCAGAAGTACAGTCATCCCTTGGTATACTGGGCGGGGCATTCATTCCAAGACCCCTGCATATACCAAAATCTGCATACTCAAGTCCCGCAGCTAGCCCTGTACAGCTCACATATATAAAAAGGCCTCCATATATGTGGTTTTCGCATTCCACAAATACTATATTTTTGACGTGGGTTGGTTGAAAAAAATCCACATATAAGTGGGCCCACACATTTCAAACCTGTGTTGTTCCAGGGTCAACTGTGTATGATTTTATTGCCCCTGATGAAATGTTCTATTCCACAGACACTGAGCATCTGCTCACCGCCACAGGGCTACTACTGAAGTGAAGAAGATAGTGTATTCCCTGGATGCTACGTTATAGTCTAGTGAAGTCTCCCTCCAGGGTCCTCCTTGTCCAAACTCTATTCCACATTGCCAAGAGGGTCATCTTTATACAACAAAAATATAATTGTGTCACTTTCTGGCTTAAATATATCCAGGCATATCTGATGATAGGTAAGAGATTACAGTATTGCTATAGAAGATTATTGACACTAGATGATGAGGAAATTTGTCTTATTATACTATCCTCTCTACTTTGATATGTTTGCAATTTTTCATAATAGAAGGTTTAAAAGTTACAGACTAAATACCTGGGAACTCAATATTATATTATCTGCAGGAATAGTTGAAACTTACTAGCATGGCCTGTAGGGATCTTCAGCATTCTATCTCAAATGCCTTTAGCTTCATCTCCTCTCACGTTCATCTGGACTAAACATGTGCCAAACTCTCATGTTCATATGCTCCAGCTGCACCAAATACCTTGTACATTTGGTTCTGTTATGCTCCAGTCCCTTTTTATCTATTCCTTCTGCCAGGAATACCCTTCCCCCTGCACTGAGTTCACCTCCTGTCTCCACCCCAACAAGCTCACACTCAGGTGCAAATAATATCAACTCTGTAATGATACCCACCAACACCAGGCAATAAATCTGTGCCTTCTTCATGCTCTCCATGTCACAAACCACACATTATTATTATAATAATTAACCACATTATAATTATTACTTATGTCTAGTTCTCTACTAGACTGAGCTCTTGGACCTCAAGGACATGTTTTATTAGTTTTATTTACAT